GGCCATCTATTTGTTCTAGTTTTCTACAACTGTGGTAGCAACGACCCATATATAACATGATAAACATCTGAGAAATATTATTGCAGAAGTGCACAGTTCAAGATATATATATGGACCTTCATTATAACCCAACTACTTCTCAGGAGTTCAGGCTTTTCGGCTGAAGTCAGAGCAGCAGGGACCCTGCAGGGCTCATGCACTGAACCCTGCTGTTTGGTTGCTAGGGTTTGGAAATGCTCCAGCAGGTTTGCTGGGAAGTTTGTGTTTGATGAAACCTGTAATCTTAACACTACCTTAGCGAAGACTTTTGTGCGTGTGCACACACACAGAGCTACATACAGTTCAAAGATTAAACAAAAGCACAAGGAGTGTTTCTAGCGGGCCAGCATTACCATTTACCTGATTCTAGACAGTACTGGAGGACAGAATTATATTTTAATTCACAGAGTGAAAACCACCCCAGGACCTGCACAAGATCATACGTGATGGACACACAAGGACTCTGCATAGGTGCAAATCTTAACCCTATAATTTCCTAGCTCTGCTTTTAGGCGTAATAAGCTAAATAAAGTTAAATAAGCTATTTATTTCATGTACTTTTCAAGAATAGGGGCTAAACGGTGACCAAGGCCCCAATCCTATAGATACTTATGATTGGAGGTAGTGTTTACTACTGTGTGTAATCTCCATTGAAGTCAATAGAAGTATTCTCAGCTGTAAGAACTATGCTCAGTAACAGTTTTCAGGGTCAAGCCCTAAGTCTGTCTATATCTATTTTTTTTTCTAGATTTGAATTTCTTTTTACAAAAAAGCTAGAGAACAAACCAAAAACAAACCAACCAACCAATCTGATCTCAGAGGTGCAGTCTAGACACAGTCACTAACAACAACAGAGAAGAGGAAACCTCTCCTTCTACTCCTGCTCTTGAGTTTGTGGTTTCCAGCAGAGCAATACAAGGGCCCTCTCTGGATTTAACCCCACCTATGCAATTCTTTTAAGTAATTAAAAATAACTCTCCAGAATTCCCTGACAATATGCCCAAACCTCCTACTTAGCCGCTGAACACCCAGCAATATTCCCTTCTCACGCATCCCATCTGATGCAATCCCCTGGGCGGGGGAGGACATCTGGAATATTTGGAGTCTCAGAATGGAGTCACTCACAGATGTAGAATTTATTTTTGCCGTGACATGTGTAGCCAGACTTTCCATTCCATAGGACTGAACTCTGTGGGTCAAAGGCAACATATAACTGTTGATAGTGGGGGGGGGGGTATGTGTGCACAGTTTAAAGTTTATGGGGGGGCATGTGACTGCCCCACGTGTTGCCTCTGGATCTAGAACAGAGGTTTTCAAACCATGTGGGGCACACGCCCTCCTAGGGGGTTGCGGAGGAATGTTCAGGGGTGGGGATAAGGGCAACACCAGGCAGCTCACGCCAGCCCTGCAGCGGGGCTCGGGGAGGGAGCACCACCTCACCCCTGACTTACCTCAGGGGGCCACCCAGCGTGTTTGGGCGGGGGGAGGGATGCAGCCAAAAAACCTGTGGGGCACATGACCCCGCATGTCCTGCCCACGCATCATCTCTGCTGTATCTCTCTACTAGTATTATAACAATGGTGCCAGACGCGAACTACTCCATTTTGAATGAATGGTCTCATTCCACAGAGCCTCTTCAATATCGATAGATGATCCACAATAATGCTCAGAAGTAGAAAGCTGATTCAGAGGTATGATGGCCAAGGTTTTCACAAGTGACCAGTGATTTGGGAGGCCCAATGTGAGATGTCTAAAAGGACTAGATTTTTAGGAATATCAAGCACCAACCTGGTCTCTGAAAACCAGGGCCCAAGACCTTTCCTGCCCTAAAATGGAAGCGACCAAACTCACTAGTGGACTTCTGAAAATCTTGGCCTTAGTTATTTTTTTAAACCTATCATATTTAAAATTATAAAGGATGTCATAGCAGTGTGAGCAATAGAGATCTCCCCAATGATTTCTCATCAACAATCAGATCTGGTTTCCACTGGAGTCCACTGACTCAAGATCTCTTGCAGAGGCTTCAGAGCACAGTGTACTTAGGCTGATGTGGTAAACCATGTGAGTTTCACAGTCTCAGACAGAAGCCTTTTGCAGCAAGCTGGATGAGGATCCAGTTCCACAGACATCCATGAATGAACATGATTTGTTGGGGAAAAGTGAACATGGTTTTTCTAAAGGGAAATCATGCCTCCCCGATCTACTAGAATTCTTTGAGGGGTTCAAACAAACATGTGGACAAGCGTGAGGGGGTAAACAGTGAGGTGGCAAAATTTGCAGAGGATACAAAATTACTCAAGATAGTTAAGTCCAAGTTACAAATGGATCTCACAAAACTGGATGACTGGGCAACAAAATGGCAGATGAAATTCAATGTTGATAAATACAAAGTAATGCACCTTGGCAAATATAAGCCCAACTATAGATACAAAATGATGGAGTCTAAATTCGCTGTTACCACTCAAGAAAGAGATCTTGAAGTCATTGTGTATAGGTCTCTGAAAACATCCACTCAATGTGCAGCGGCAGTCAAAAAAGCTAACAGAATGTTAGGAACCATTAGAAAAGGGTTCAATAATAAAGACAGAAAATATCATGAATGCCTCTATATAAATCCATGGTATGACCACACCTTGAATACTACATGTAGATCTGGTTGCTCATCTCAAAAAAAAAAAAAAGAAAAAGAAAAAAATTGTAAAAGGTACAGAGAAGGGCAACAAAAATGATTAGGCATACAGAACAGCTTCTGTATGAGGAGAGATTAAAAATACTGGGACTTTTCAGCTTGAAAAAGAGATGACTAAAAGGGGATATGATAGAGGTCTATAAAATCTTGACTGGTGTGGAGAAAGTAAATAAGGAAGTGTTATTTACTCCTTCACATAACACAAGAACTAGGGGTCAGACAATGAAATTAATAGGCAACAAGTTTAAAACAAACAAAAGGAAATACTTCTTCACACAACAGACAGTGAACCTGTGGAACTCATAGCCAGGGGATGTTGTTAAAGCCAAAACTAAAACAGGGTTCAAAAAAGAACTAAATAAGTTCATGGTAGATAACCTTTAATGGACCTATTAGCCAGGATGGTCAGGGATGCAACCCCACCCTTTGATTGTTCCTACCCTTTGTTTGTCGGAAGCTGGGTGTGGAGTCGGGAATGGATCACTTGATGATTGCCCTGTTCTGTTTATTCCATCTGAAGCACCTGGCATCGGTCACTATCAGAAGACAGGATACTGGGCTAGATGGACTATTGGTCTGACCCAGTATGGCAGTTCTTATGCCGCAGGCCAAACGCCCCTCTCTCAGCACTTGCAAAATTCATGCAATGAATTCCATCACCACACAACACTCCTGTGGTTTAGGCATTTGTTACAAATTCAAAAAACTCAGACCAGGTTTGTATCACATTCCAAGCCCAGTAAACTTTAACCATTTAGGCACTTGGTCAATAAAAGAACAGAGTGGAACTGAAACCAACCTTGGCTCCTGCCCAATGGAGTGGAGTGGGGAGGCAGGGTTCTCCTTTCTCAGTCCCAGAGATTCGCAGCATGCAAGATAACTAGAAAAAGCCTATGGGCAGGCTGATATTCTACATCACGACCTCTTGGGGTCATAGAGCAAGTTACTACAGATCGGCCCATGGGACAGGGAGCAGCTGAATTCTCTGGAGTTCTTTGGCACATAAGGCTGGGTCATCCAAACCAGGTTGGACCAACCCCTGCATACTGATGAGCTGGTCTCTATGGCCTTTCAAAGGCTATGTGGCTCACAAAAGCATGGATGCTTTCTGCTAGATGCGACCCCAAGGAAGATGAAATTTTATAGCTAAGCAAGTCTGCTGTGTTGCTATAAAATAGAGGGGGTGGGATTATTAGATGAATAGAAAGTTTAAAGCTACCTTGAAAAAAGGTTTTCTGAATAATACCTTATTGCTTTTTCATTTTAGAGTCATTATAAAGCAGGTTTTCCCCTGTTCAAGAGAGAGCAGAAACCAAGTAAAAGGTCAGAAATGCTGGCACACAGCCAAGTCTTGCTGATAACATGTACTGATGGATTCCATCAACCAGCCTTGGTGGAGAGAGCTGATATCAGGAGACAATCACTGCCCTGAAGCATTATGAGATTGAAGGCACAGTCAGCCGCATTTAACCAGAGGAACACATGCAGCCCTGGGGAAAGCAATTAATATGCTAGTTTGCTCAGAAGAAATCTAATACATGCCCTACCACCAAGTAACTTCAAGAGTGTTTTATCTTTATCCCTAACCAGTTCCTGAATAGCGGAGACACCCACATCTGTTTAGGTAGGGGATTCCAAGGAAGATCAGTTGAAAAGGATTTATTAAAAGATCACAGCAAGTACATTTTCCCTGCAGGAAACATACCTTAATCTAATCTAGGAGGCTGCTGCAAACCCTCCTGGCCAAGTCTCCCATTTAAACAGATCACAGACACAAGTTTGTTCTGGTCTGGACAATGTCTGAAGTTTCTTTCCCCTATTAAATTAACAGACTTGCTTATAACAGAGTGAAACACAACTCAGTTTTCTAAACAATCCACTTAATCTGGTTCTGGTATTTTGCTGGTTGGAGCATACTGTCTGACTGTATCAGAGGGGTAGCCGTGTTAGTCTGGATCTGTAAAAAGCAATAAAAAGTCCTGTGGCACCTTATAGACTAACAGACGTATCGTCAGCATACTGTCTGACTAGCTAAGTGCATTGTCCCTTTATGCAGCTTGAAACAAAGAGAATAATCTTTTGCTAAAAGATTAAATACCTTATGTATTTGGTAAAATTCCTTCAAACATAGTCTAAGGCCATGTCTACATTAGCACTTATGTTGTCAAAACTTTTGTCGCTCAGGGGTGTGACCAGCATAAGTTTTGCCGGCATAAGCACTAGTGTGCACAATGCTATGTCGGGGGAAGATGCTCTCCCACTAACATAGCTACTGCTGCTCATTGAACTGGTTTCTCTCCCATCGGCATAACATGGCTACACGAGCCATCTTACAGCGGCACAGCTGTGCTACTGCAAGCTTGTTAGTGTAGACATGGCCTAAGTAACATAAGAGGATGTATAGAGACAGAAAACTCCAATACACTGAGGGCTTGTCTACACTACCAAGTTTTGTTGACAAAACTTGTGTCGACACCCAAAAGTCAACACAACAAAAATCGCCAAAGGGTGTTCACACTTGCTCCCTCTGTCAATAGATCACGTCACCATTGGGGACACCATCATCACGTGGGTATGTATCCCACAGTGCAGTGTTGTGGGAAAGAAGAGCCGATTGCTGCGCATCTTGGGATTGTCTCCGAGTTCTCCCACAACCCCCTCAGCTGCCGAGAGCAGCATCATGAGTAGCTCTGGGAGCTCTCCATGCTGAGGAATGGCAAAGCAGCACAGCAGTCTGTCCCCCTCCCCCTGCAGCAGCTGTCTGCCTGCCGCTGTGTTCCTAGTGCCCGGCAGAACAGGAGCATTCCAATGATTTGCTCTTTGTTTGTTCCCCAAACGGAGCAGCACACAGATACTTCCCGGAGCTTTGAAAGGGTAGGGGCGCATGTCTACACTGGCTCTTTGTCGACAATAAAGGGAGGGGAAAGACAAAAGTCTCTCGGAGGGGTGGAAGTTTTTTGTTGCCAAAACTGGGTGTTTCTCGTGACAAAAGTCCCACTGGAGTG